TAAACTAGCTTTTTTAAACCCATTACTACGGAAAGGTATAATTGTTTAACAAACCTTTTATAAGAATGATCCAACACAAATGTGAAAAACGCATATTTGTTTTTTAAAGCCGACGTATATTTAAGGTAGCTTTTTAGACTGAAAAACAAAATTTCCATCAAAAAATATTTTCTTAGTTTGAAACAGTTTCTAAACATTAAGTATAATTTTATTTTTGAGTTGAAGACTGTATAGTCTAATTTTATAAAATTATGAACACAACAAAGGTCGAAAATTAGAAACTATTTTATATCAACGTTTCGAACATTTCTACCGATAAATCGCTAACTACATTTTAGAATATGAAAAGAGGAATACGCTTCTTTTGTTACTATTTATTTACTTTTAATTGCATTATTTATGATTAAACAGTGATGGATTAGTTTTTATTTTAGTTTTGTTCCTCTAGTTTTTTTAACAATTGATATGATCAGTAACGGCAAAAAGCAAGCGCGGTCATACCGGAACGTTGTGTATAATAAAATTGGAATTTTGCAACATAAAACCGAAACTACAACAATATATTAGTAATAGTTATTAGTTATTAACATACAACAGTTTCACATTGTTAATTAAAAAAGAAAAATTAATCGAATGTTTTTAATGTGCACAGGTTGGACGTAAAAACGTCAATTAATATGAGACACAATGTCACGTTAAATAAACCGCGTATAAATAAATACGCAAATAATTTTACATCTATTTTTCTCTTGTTATTCCACTCCTATTCTCGGTCCTATGTATACGATTAGTTTTTTGAATATGGAACTTTAAACACAACAGCAATTGATTTAACATGAACAAAGGCAAAGGATACGCCATGCAAACAGTAGAAGCAACCTATAAGTCTGGTTCCAGCCCATTAGATGCTATAAATAGAATGGTTTTGTGCAGTGGCGTAGCGAGGTCGGGTGTTACCCGGTACGGCACTTAATGGTTTCACCCCCCCCCCCCAGAGGCGTAGCGACCCTTCCCGGGGAGAAACTTTTAATTTTCGATTTGCACCAACCCCTTCCCGGGGAGAAACTTTTAATTTTCGATTTGCACCACCCCCCCCCCCCCACCTCAAACTTTCGATTCGCACCTCTTAAATACTATTTAGCACTCGAATTAATCACTTAATTAAGTGGAATTATCATTTTTCTCTATATATTTTGCTATTTCTTGCCTTGGTGTCACCCCCTTTAATGGTGTCACCCGGTGCCGTCCGCCCCCCCCCCCCCCTCGCTACGCCTCTGGTTTTCTGTACACCACATCATCAGCAGGACATCAGAACGACATCAGCAGGAGATGATGTGAGCGTGACACGTGAAGCACTCGATACGTCAGTAAACAATGAACATTCCATGTCCCATTTTTGTTGCATAAATGCTATGGCCAACTTAACCATTTTCTTTGTACTTCTGTCGTATTAATATTAATTGACTTACAATTTCTTTCTATTCCTGGGTCATTGAGTTTGTATTACTTCATTGTATATAAATCACTTCTAAAACTTTTACAATGTTTAAAATTAGCTTACAATAAAACTTACCTTAACAATAATTGATTTTGACAGATCAAAATACGTGTCTGCAAATTCGCATCCGGGTTTTTAAACCATGATTTAAAAAAAAAAATTGTTCGATTCTTTTTCCATCGTCAATCAATTTTCTTTTGTTGAGCTAGTATTTTATGCAAAAACTGCACTTCTTGTACGTGTCATTAAAGCTGTCCAGGATTTAGAAAATTACATTGCTGCAGGGGACGAAATAAACTCAGATGTAAAACTACAGAAATATTGTAAGCTTACCTGCACCCCCCCCCCCTCTCCCCTCCCCGTCGCCTCCTACATTCCCAGATAATCCACCCGTAACAAGAAACATTTATAACACAGTTTACTGTAATTATTACAAATATTTAACTACATGCATTGAACGAGTGAGATAAACTGATTGCTTGCTAAAACAGACAAATTATTGAATATGTAAGATAACAGTGTAAGACATATCATCTGTTGTTTTTCACCTAGTTTATTTTATTTCGCAAAAAGAAACCCATACAAAACATTTCTCTGACAGTCAACAGGGAAACATTGATTACTTTAAGCATATCTAAAGCGTAATTGGGTGAGAGCTTATGGTTGCTAACCCAAAACTCCTGAGTTCGAATCTATGGGAAAAGGGGCGTAATAGGGCTGGTAAGAAGGTCACCTACCAGTTCTACGGCTCAATAAAACCTGCATGAGTCATATTACTGGTTAGTGACCTACTTACCAGCCCTATACCTGGGGATTCAACTCATCTAGGAAACAAAAAACTCCGAATTACAATAGGAGTAGAGCCCTGTAGGCTCTGTTCCCCCGAAGAGATTCCTGAAAGAGACTCTGCTAGTATTCCTTTAGACAAAAATCTAAGGTCGAGACTGGTCACAAAATAAGGGCAACTCATGATGTATCCATCTGATACCCTGATACGGTCCTAGTATTAACTTCTCTGTATGCACGTATTGTATACCGAAGCAATTTACCCATCATACATTGAATTTTTTAAAAAGAGATTGTATAATTTGTATAGTTATCAATGAGCTAAACACCAGTTGAGTTGTACTATGTATATAATTATTTTATCGCTTCTGCACAACAGAAGTTAACAGTAGTTGAAGAAATGTGTACACATATAAAAATGGTTATTACTGGAATTCTATTTCATATAATAACAAAGATCAACATTTACAAAACAGTTCTCGGAATTTTGAGTTGTATTTCAAGTAGATAAGAATAGTCCCGCAGCAAAATATACTCTGACATGTGTAGGCTATACGAAGACGTTATACGCCTCGTATAAACGCCCAGATTTTCCAAATAACGACAACTCTGGATAAAGTAGCATTACGGGATGGGAGATAATTCTCGGCGTGTTGCTGATGATAAAGGCAACAGAGAACACACACAGCTGCTGGGTGACTCTTATCTCCTTGCTGCTCAACTGGAGTTTTTTCTGCCTTGAACTTATAATACTTATATTATTAGTGCTCAATGCGTTTCTTTTCAATGACGCTCTTACATCGTGTTATAGAGTACGAGCCGACCCGCAGCGTATCATACGCCGCTATTTAGTTCTTTTATTTTCTACTTTCCAGCAATTCATAATTTGTGAATTCGACAGTACCAATGCTGCCAGTGAAAATATTTGCTTTTAAAACACTATCAGATGGTCGTTAAGGACGATACCCCCTACTTCCCCCCCCCCCCTTACCCTCATCACACACCGTCACAAAATTACGGACCCCCCCCCCCCTCCACCTACGCGTGTGACGTCATTTATGGACGACCCCGTAAGCGTCTCTTAGTTTATGAAGTTTCACATCATAACATTACGTATTTCAAATATGTCTGCAAAAATGTTAATAAAAAACATGCAAATATTATATAAGAAACGTTCAGCATAATTCAATATTATTCTCTATTGCTTCCGATTAAAGACGTTATTGTTTTAGTTTTGAAGTAATTAACACAATTTGAGAATCAATGTAATTTTTTTATTCATTGTCTTGTGACAAAACGTTCAAGAACTGTGAGCACTAGTCAGCTTGTCACTCGATCGAAATATTTATGTTCGAAATTGTAGTGCGGTCAGCTGTCTTCTTCAACTGTTAAATCAACCACAACTCAATGCGTTGTTTTTTTTTAACTTACTTGATATAAATAATAGTATGTTATTTGACATGACTACAATTTCCTAAAGCAAAACAATAGAATTAGCAGTACAAGCACTATGACAATGAGTAGAACCTGAATGGATACCAAAATAATCTATATATTTAATTCTCTTCTTGGAGACGTTAGAAAACAAGCTGCAAGCGCGCCATGCAGTCCCCTCTCTTCCTGTTCTAGGAAGTCTGGTGAGCTGTGGTTCATGCTAAATGTTTACTATCGTAGAGCGGGGTATAGTGACGGCTATTAGGGGCAGATAATGTAGTTTGAAACGATTTTAAACTTAGGGAAGGTAACGAAGAGGAGTTTGCTTTCAAGGGGGTGGGGGTGGGGTGGGTGGGTGGGTGGGATAGGGGTTGGGGGAAAGGAGGGGGGTATCGTCCTTAACAACCATCTGATAGTGTTTGAAAGCAAATATTTTCAGTGGCTGCATTGGTACTGTCGAATTCACAAATTATGAATTACTGAAAAGTAGAAAATAAAACAACTAAATAGCGGCTTTACGCCGCGGGTCCGCTCGTTAATACTAATACACTAAGCCACATTGTTGTGAACATCGTGTGCACAAATTTCAATTAATGTGACGTAATCGGCAAGGGCAATTTCCCAGTCATAAATTGCTGAGAAATGTATGAAGTGTTTTAAAAAACATCAGCTAACAAAAATAATTTCCCAATTACGAAAACTACGTGTTTCTTGTACGAAAAATCGAATACTTATTTTCCCAACGAAAGAGTGATAAATATATTAATTATAAACATTTTCATATTATATTTATGGTAGATAAATATTATAAACGTGTTAAAAATCGTTAGGATAATTGAATCGCCGTATACTAGAAATTGATTTACGGAATTCTAAATAGGCACAGTAATTTTAATTGTGTAGATGTAAAACATGATTTCAATAAATGGAGTTATAATTATATTTTTATTTGATTTTATAATACTTTTGTTGTTGAAACAATGCGATAGACAACACTTTAACCTTTACTGAACAGTTAATTGAAAGGAAAGTAAAGTCTCCGAAATTATGTCTGTAATTTAGCCTTCATGCACGTATGAATTAGAGCAATTGTAGAAGTTGTAAGTACGTTTCCACCAGTTAGCGGTATTAAATCAATATTCGTGTTCTATTTGGTGTCTATGTTTACAATCGTCAATTTAGTAAAGGTTGTCGAGAAGTATTTACTGCCCAGAGAAAGAAATTATACAAATAGTAATCTTTATGTAAATAAGATAAAGATACACAGGGAATAACAACAGCCATGTCTGAAATAATTGACTTGCTACTTGCGACGCCCTCTTCAATGCAGGATAACGTCACCACACTTAGCACAGTTTTGTGTCTTTTTCGTGGAGTTGTCTCCCTTGTTGGAGTCGTAGGCAACTCTCTGACGATCCGGACATTTATCGCTATGGGACTTAAAGACGGGGTGACTCTGTCGTTCTTGTTCCTCTCTGTCTGTGATCTATTGTTTCTTGTGTTAGAAGGCGCATCTTCGATCTCATGCGTCTTTGTCTGTGTTGAACGAGTCAGTAATTATACAACTTACTTCCCCGTGGATCCATACAGTGTAGATTTTTATCTGCTACTGTGTGCAAGCGAGTTCTATCATTGCGCCATGGTCACTATAATATTTCTTGCCATTGTCCGATGCCTGAGCGTGGCCTCGCCATTGTGGTTTAGAAACAAATTAGGAACTAAATTAGTCTCCATCGTTGCTAGTTCGGTGATTGCCATATCTGTTTTTGCAATTGAAATTCCAATTTTCGCCTTCATGGGGATTATACCCCAGTTTGATAAAAACACAAACACAACCAGAGCATTATTTTGGGCATCGCCTAAGTGGCATATAGTGACAGATGTCATTTGGACTGTCATGGGGCTCATTTTAACCAACTGTGTTCAAATAATATTGCTAATATCTGCTATTGCCATGAAAATCGTTCTCACAAAAGCGCTATCGTTTAGAAAAAAGTGCACGTTAGCCCATAACGACACAAACACAAGCTACAGTGACGTCACCCACACAGAGAGCAAACTGCAGTTAACCAGCAAGGAAATCAGGATAACCCAGCAGTTGTTCGTCCTCTCGCTGACCTACATCATCAGCAACACGCCAAGAGCTTGCTTCCATCCGCCACAACTACTCTTCCCAGAGCTCTCCATATTTGGGAAACACGGAAGATTATTTGAAGTCATTGACGTCATTGTACACACGTGTCAGTGTGTATTTTGTTGCGGTAATGTCCTCATCTATTTGAGATTCAACTCCAGATTTCGTCAATTGTTTTGGAGAAATTTTAATAACAAACAAGCATAAAATACGATTTTTATAATTGTTAAGTTACATAAGGCAAATAAAGTAGTTCATGTGAATTAAATAGTGGTACAGTATATTTTTTGTAAACAAGGAAAATCGTGAATTTCTTTATTAGTGGATAATTATTTAAAAAAAAAAAATTATTTAAAAAAAATCTTTTAAATTTCTACTGAAAAAAATATAATTTGGAATAGGTGAACCATTTTAATAGCCGAACAGATATTTTTTTACAGTATTCTAAAACTATTTTCTTAAGCAGTTTTTCAAGCATTATATGTGAAATTTGTAAAGTAGAAAAAAAAACTGTTTGCATCTCTATATATAGTTGTTTTCTTTCTGTCCAAGTGTCCCTTAGTTTTTTATTCATTCCTAAGGATCTGCAGAACTATAATAAAAAAGTTTGTTTTAATTTACAAGTTTATTTTTGTTTTTGGATTAGATTGGCATTGTTTTCTTTAACATTAATTAATTGTCATGTTTCCATGATAAAAATAAATGATAAATAGTGTCTACGGGTGATTAAAAGATATTTCAAATTAATAGTTAGATTTAACAATTACCATGAAAGGTATTCATCTTGTTTTTATGAAAATGTGCAACTGAAAATGAAAATATAAGTTATACAAAAATTGTCATATTTGATTACAAAACAAAGTTAATAAATAGGAATATAAATATTGCCTCAGTGAAAAAGGACAATGTAGCATGAATAAAAAAAAAAACAGGTTGAAGATAAAATTATGAGCAACTTTCTTAAAGACGGCGCCATGTACCTTATTGTAAAGTGTTTTTAAAAACATTCTATTAAACACATCTTCTTCAACTTAATATAATATTATAGATGTTCAAAAATATGTTTTAGATATTTTTAAAGACTTCCAGCTTAACATTTCACTCCATTCGAGCCAGAAGCTAGCTGTTGATAGATTACATGTTTATACATTAAAATACACGAAACACATAATACTGCATACACTTTTACATAAACGGAAGTAATTTATATTTCCTTAATTTTGTCTTGTAGTTTTGGCTTACATTTCCTATAAAGTACGTTACTTCACAAAAACAGTATATGATCGCTTCTCGTATTTGTGTTCTTGGGCAAATTCTTCTTGCGTGCAGGGGCGGAACTACAGTGCCGCCAGACCCCGCAATGCGGGGGGGGGGGGGGCCCACGCCATTTAGGGGCCCAGAGCCGACCATAATAAAAAATTGTATAGTTAAAAAAAGTAAATTTTCTTTCATTTTTGACTTGATGGTTGTCTTGTAAAAAAATGCCGTAGCTGCGGTTGGATTATCTTTATTCTATAGACACCACCCCACGCTCTTGTATATTCTTTTTCCCTTTGTTTTTAAATAACTGTGAAAGCCGAGTCTTTCTCCTACAATTAAACTTATCAAAGATAAGCAAATGTTCAAACCACTTCCATGACTTATTTCCCTCTTTTAAAAAAGAGTCAAATAGGGGTAATCATAAGCTCCTTTTAATAGATTTGTACTAAGCAAATTAAAAAGCAATTACTTCTCTTAATTATTATTTTTTTATAAGTAATTTCTAAAGAATGATATTGTATAAAAGGGAAATGTATTGAAATGTATTAAATCAATAATATTTTAAACACTAATAATATAACTACAAGAAAAAACATAAAAATAAACATAACACGAGACACCATTACTTATACAAAGCTTTCATATTTTATATTATTTTGACCGACAGGATGATAAAAGCGCTTCTATCAAAAATTAATTAAAAATTGAATTTCACCAAAACACGCTAATGCACTTACTTACACACATGACATGATGTTGAAATTTTTTTAATTTATGTTTTTCAAATACCGAACAGGACAGCAATGAGTATCCTATGTTAGTTTTATGTGATTGCATATATATATATATATATATATATATATATATATATATATATATATATATATATATATATATATATATATATATATCTATATATATATATATATATATATATATATATATATATATATATATATATATATATATATATATATATAGGCCTATATATATATATATATATATATATATATAGGCCTATATATATATATATATATATATATATATATATATATATATATATATATATATATATATATATATATATATATATATGGGGGGCCTAAAAATTTTTTTTGCGGGGTGGCCCTTTTTTTCTAGTTCCGCCACTGCTTGCGTGTAAGCAATCTTTAGAGGGTTGTGGTACATCTTCGTTGGTAGTTGTAGTTGGGTCTGAAATGTGTGTGTCTATGAAAATAAAGTTGCTGAGTTGGTCTCGTAATGATGATGCAGCTGTTTCTGTTTTGTTGAGGTATCGTAGTGATGATGTAGCGGGTATTGTGTTGAAGTATCGTAGTGATGATGTAGGGGGTCCTGTGTTGTTGAGGTGGTATCGTAGTGATGATGTAGCTGGTCCTGTTGAGGTGGTATCGTAGTGATGATGTAGTGGATCTTGTGTTGTTGAGGTATCGTAGTGATGATGTAGCGGGTCCTGTGTTACTGAGGTACCATAGTTAGTCTTGTTGTTGATGGTAGATGTGATCCTAGGAAGTATAGCTTGGAGGGCGCTAATGAGGTATTATTGAGCTGGAGTATCGAGAATAGATACTGGAGTGTGTTGTCATTGGTCTTGTAGTGGTAGATTGGGTTATGTATTTTAGTTGCAAACGGAGCTAGAGTATATGAGTACAGTTCGTAGAGTTAGAACGTTGGGTAGTCTAGAATCTCTTGATATGGGATATCGAAAGTAAATTGTTTAAGAGGTGTCGAGAGTTGATTCGTCGCTGGTTGGTAGATTTGGCTGAGTAAACGTGTGTTGGAAGTCTCAAGTTGAGAATGTCAAGTCGTAGCGCTGGTAGAATAGTGTATTTGGGTAATGTTTTTAGTTAGTCGATAGATGAATAATCGTGCGATGTGAAATTTGAGTAGTCGCGTTGATCGTTGAGTTGGTTCGATGAACTTATCGTAGGTTCGATGGTGTCGTGACGGAACTAGAAATATAGGTAGGCGTCGTCTAGCTGAAAAATCGAAAATAGATCTTCTTCTTCTTCGTTCTTAATTTTTAGTGTTGGAAGTGATCGAGCCTTATCTGCCAGAAGGTTTGAACTAGAGACTTTTTTCGAATTTATCAACCATGAGCTTTTGCCGACTCGACCACGCCTCCATCACAATTAAGGATACGTGTCAACTGGTTATGCGCCATTGAGGCCATTGACTCCGATTTCAGCCTGCTTTACTTTTTGGATTTGCTTCCATAGCCTTTGTCCAACCAAGAACAAACTACAAGGCAGCAATTGATTGATTTTGGAGTTGTTTCTCCAAGAAGAGTGGCTGTTCCCAGCTAACGAGCCTCATCTACCCGAGGATTCGAACTCGAGACTTTTCGGTTTAGCAGCCATGAGCTTAACCGACTCGACAACGCCGACCCCCGAAAATGAAACCACTGGAGCACTAGCACTTGGTGACTCTTCTTCGCGTCAAAGTCCCCAAGTAAAGACCGAATAACCGAATGGATCAGCTCCGCGTAAATCCATAATAGTCAGGCCCAGGGGTCGGCAACCTGCGGCTCGCGAGCCGCATGCGGCTCTTTTGATGTCAAGATGCGGCTCTTCAGCTCCATGCACAAATATTAATAATTATTTTAATTTATTTTTAAAACTCATAAAAATATTAGTCTGCAATACTCGGTAATTAAAGATTTAGATCTAATAACAATGTAAAGTTTCTAATTTCAAACAGCGCTTGCTAAACTACTTTAATATGTTTTGAGCGAAACATGTGTATGTTTTTATATGAATAAATATTATTTCATATTTTAAGCTATTTAAGTTGCCGACCCCTGAGCTAGCCTGAGTTTTGGTTGCCAATAACATCCTCTTCAATAAAAGCTCTACTGCCTTTAAAGCATGTCTTGGCAAGCCAAACCTTATCTGTGATTTCTGTTTAGTGTATTTTACTAACATAGTTGACACATGCGTAAGGCCTGACGTGGTCTGGACAACACACATAAGGAGAAACTAAACACAGAATAGCATTTATTTACGAGGAAAACAACGAAATAAATACACAACACATTAAAAAAGGAATAATTTAAGTTTCATTTTTAAAAATAATTTTGCGAATGATATATTAAGTGAATAAGCATTTGAGTTACTTCCCATATTAATATTTTAATGAAATAAATTGACATAACTTAAAGTTTATTTTCAGAATTATTTATATTTAGAAAAATGCAATGATTAAATAGTCATAAACATAGTTTATTATCAGTTTGTTCAAGCGTATTGTCTGATAAATCATTAGATGTTTTTGTTATTCTGCACTTTTTATTTTTAAGGGTCTAAAATATTTGTTTTTAACCTCAAAAATACACATAAACTAATCCGTTTAATAGATATACTTGCAAACACTAGCTAACAGTTCCGTTTTAACACTGCTCACTCTTAAAATGTGAACGTGTGTACTTTGATATATATAAAAAAAGATATTTAAAAGAAAAAAGAAAAAAAGAAAAGAAAAAAAAAAAAAAAAAAAATAAAAAAAGATATTTTTTAATAAAATAAACTATTTGACATCGCAGCTAAGGATGGAGCACAGTAAATTAAGTAGTCAAGAGAAACCGAGGTTGAACACCTTATTTTTAGTCTAGTTGTTAGGCCTTTTTGTTGTCTCCATTAAAAAAAAAATTGAATAACTTTAAAATAGTAATAATAATAATAATAAAAACAACAAAAAAAAAACAACGGAAGACTGCTATAGATATATATGTTTGAACGAGAAGAATGTTTGATTTGATGTAAACCATCGTTAATGGGGACGAACTTTTCGATTTGCACCCCCCCCCCCTCAAACTTTCGATTTGCGCACCCCCCCTCCACCCTGAAGATTTCGATTTGCATCCCCCCCTAAAACTTTCGATTTGCACACCCCCTCAACCTCTAAATCTATTTTTCCAACCCATTTTGGCA